CGCTTCTCTGTCTGAAGGGTCTTTGCGACTACTACTTTTATGATCATCGGATTATCGTACAGAAATCTGAGCAGCACCAACTGGGACTTATACTGCAGAAGTATGCAGGGCATTCTGACGGTTTCATCCGCGAGTGGCGGACTGAAACCAAATTGACGAATCAAGTGGTGTGTTCACCTCGTCGTGTAAAAGGGCCATTGAAATCTCCTATCCCTGAGTCACCACAAAGTAAAGAGCAAATCAGAGCGGAGAGTGGAGCTCTCTGAACTTAAAGCCTGTAGCAGAGGTATTTCCATAAGGCCGGGATAGTAATTTGGTCTCTGACTGGACACTAAATAAGATTTCACTTTGGATCTACATATAAGTCCGATATTAGAAAGCGAAAAGAAGTTCGTGGAGATTTTTTCGTTAACGCGTGGAAGGTAGCCAAAAATATTCGAGGTTTAGGCGAGACCTCTCTAAGAATCCTGTTCCCCTGGTATACATCAAGGACGAGAACGGAAACTGCATCTTTTAGAATCTAAGAGCCATGGAACGGACTACTCAGATATTGTGTGAAGATCACCCTGTGTGAGTCATTGGCTCTTTCAAACCCTTTAAGGCCCCGAGTCCGGACAGCATAATACCAGCTCAACGGCAGCAATCTGCGGAGGTGTCGTGCCACTGATTGATGCCTATCATCGCGATCTGCCTGGCTAGAGGTTATGTTTCGGGGCTTTGGAGAGTGGTCAGAGTTACTTTTATTCCTAACGTGTGTAAGGTCACCTATGTATTCACGCCGATGAGCCTTTCCTCATTTTTTTGAAGATGCTGGAGAGACTGATTGATCTGCACTTAAGAAACGGAATTCTTATAGGGCATCAGTGATCGGACTTCAAAAAATATTTGTGTGGTAGAATCTGGAAAAAAATGTGGTAGATTTCAAAAAAATGTGGTTTGTGGTTTTGGATCAAACTTTGTACAAAAGTTAAAAATATTCTGCAAGGTTTCAGATAAATTGCAAACATTTTAATTAGAATTTATAAAATTATAATTTTAGTATAATAAAGTACAATACTGAAGTTGCTGAAAATTGCGTTGAGTTTTGGCAATTTTTTCTCTTGAATGTGTAAAGCAGTTCCTTCCATATCAAGATATTTTTCTAACATATTTTGAAAGATTTCTGCAACCTTACGGAGTGTTGCCAGCATTTCATTTTATCACATCACGATGTAGCGAACAAATGTGGCACGTTCCAGAAACCGCTACTTGGGATTTGCCGATTTTGACAATTCTCAAGTAAAGATAAACAACGCTTTAGAAGCTAATGATGCACTGAAATTTGCTAACACTTTCACAAAAATCGCCGTTTTTAACATTTTCGCTATTAGTTATTTTTATAGATCATATATTTTGCAATTTAACACAATAAAACCACGTTTCCTGTAGAAAAATTGAATATTGAGAAAATTTAATATTTTACAGTTTATTTTATAATCCCATTCTGCCTGTTGTAAGTGTTTAGTGTTGGACATTTTTTGGTCTTAAAAAATGCGATTATGTGGTAGATTTCAGACCGTGTGTGGTAGATGCTCAAAAAAGTGGCAGATCAACCACAATGTGGTAGAAGTCCGATCACTGATTGGAGTGCGAATTACGAATGAGAGAGCGAACTACGTAATTGGGGTGCCGTGGGAAAGCCATACAACTTTGTTGTTGCTTTCACATGCAAAATTTTTCGTAGAGCGATTGAACTTCAACCAACGCGAGCAGGGAAGTGGCGAATCGAAGGCGGGTATTAGTTACTTTGCAACTGGACAGATTCTGTAATTTTGAGAACAATTTTACGCATCCGTCCAAATACTTTTTGAAACAACTGGATAACCAAATAAACGGATATTAAGCGGATATCCGTATAACCCAATGCATGAATATTAATTAATCTCGAAAACCAAATGAATGGCTATTAACCAAGCTATTCGTACTATTCGGATTTTATTCGTATACACGAATATCCGGATATACGAATATACGGATAGTTCCAGCCATAGTTGCCAAGTGTGACTAGTTTGTGGCCGTTCAATTGCGAAAAAAAAAAATTTTTTATATAGCTTAAAAGTCGATTACATACATACAAATGGTTTACTAACGTTATTTCCGCACTTTGTAACAAATAAAAAATGCGCAATTCTTTTTGTGTGTGTTTTATTATTTGTATATGCTTTATTGTTTTTTGTTTGTATTAATTTTAAATTTTAATTAAATCTACAAATACATTTACAGCGGAGGGCGATACAGTAAACGAACGAAAACTAAAACTTATATCAAATAATTAAATAATGCAGTTTTAAAACAGTTTCTGAAGTGATTATGTTATAACAAATTTAATTTTCTTTGCTCGCATATTTTTATATTCAATTCAAATCAATTAAATACCAAAACACAACACACCTTTTGGAAACTACCCGCGGCCACAGCGAATGTCATGGCTCATGTGCGTGCACGCGTGACAAGATGTGTAATAGAAGACTAAGCAGCAGCGGCCTGCTTAATAGCCGAAAAGTATGCTATAGCGTTTGTGGAAAGTGGCTAAAAGTGCGCGCTCTTGCTACATACACATATACATTGCGAACTCGAGTTTTGCTGTATTTTTTCTTTAATTTTGAACTCAGCTAAATTAGATTTATTTGCAAAAATTGTGAAGAATTAACACGAAAGACAGTAGCCACACAAACAAAGCAAGTTTTTACTATATTTTCTACGGCTACGGTTGTTAATGGAATTTTTAGCAAAAAGGAAAAGAAAACTCATATTTTTTCTTTTTGTTTTTAAATACTCAAATGTTTGGTACTCTTTAGTTTTTGCTTTTTATATGAACACTTTTACGAAATATTCTCTTACTGCTTTTATGTGGTGTGAATTATGCATTAATCTTATATCTTCAAATGTTTTCATTGTATTTTATACTTGATTTATGAATCAGTTTTACTTATGTAATTATTGTAATTTAAAATTATTTGCATTAAAAAAAAAAAAATCATATACATACACGCATGTCCTGCAGCTACTACTTATACAGCTTGCGGATACCATAGGAAGCTGTTACTTCGCGGAGCTTTCCACTCGGCGCAAGTATGCGAGCTGCTGAGAAGCGTCGTTTGAGAGCAAAAGACATGCACTAAAATTGTATTTTCTATGTATGTATGTTATTGGCTACATATTTTAATTTTTTATATTTCCTTTTATTTTTGTTTTGTATTTACTTTTCTCTAACGAATGCTAACTTTTAATTTTTTTTTATAATTTTATACCCTCACTTGCATTTGTTCTTTTTCACACATTTTTATACTTTAATTATAAATTCTAATTTTTCAATAAAAAGGCAAATAGATTAACAAATTAATTATTTTACTTTTCTTATAATTTTTTCTCATTTTACCTTTGTTTTCGTTTACGCACATTTCTCATTGTTTATTATTTTTCTCAAGTTTCTTAAAAAAATTAGGACAATTACAGCAGGACAAACAACGCAGAGGAAATTGGGAAATTGCAAAAACAACAATCAACAATAAACGTGTTGTTAACCGAATATTGCTGCTGGCAAGCAAAAAGATTGGTGCTGGAAGGGGCAAAAGTGGAAGGGGAAGTGGAAGTGGGGAGCATATGTATGAATTAGCACATTCGAAAATGGTAAGAAATTCTGAAACAAACAACATATGTATGTATTATGCGTGGGTGACCCCTTACTTTCAATATTTCAGTGTTTTGCAAATGTTTGTTTTGTATTTGTGGTGTGTATGTAAATGTTATATTATGTGAGTTGGGAGCAGTGGCAGTTTACATGTTTTTTTTTTTTAAATGTATGTATCTTCATTTACAATTTGTACATATAGTATGTATATGTAAATATGTGTATGTGTGCTTAGGCAAGCGCTGCAGCTTTGACTCTGCCTTATCGGATGTAAGTTTCCAGCTTATTAGCTCCTCAGGGTTTTCCGGTCTTTATCGCTGGTACAATTGCATATTATTTTTAAGTATTCACCTATTGCATATCTTTAGCTACATTTTTTATATGTTTGTTCTTTTCTTGCTCTTATACCAATAATTCACTGCTTCGCCTGCCTTCAAAAATTTTGTATTTGTTAGATAGCAGCTTGTCAAACCTTCAATTGCAGCTTAGCTAGCCCAACTGCTGTTCCAAATGTTTTACTCCCACTTTCTAAACTCTAACAATCTTGTAGACCAGCGTTGGGTTGATTGGGGCGTAAATAATTTAGCTCTAAGGTGGTGTATTTGATTTCAATTTGCATTTTGTTAGTGGTAGTGAACTGCATTAATAAAACGGTTCTTGCTGCTGCTTTTCTCAATTGCATTATTACCAAGGATATATGTATGTATATATAAACACTTACTTGCATGTCACTTATAATTTTGTTTCGTATTTGTATTTTATCTAAGTATTTTATTGATCCACATTTTTTATTTCTCCTACATTAAATTCAGAAAAAATTTTCAACTAAGTTTCTTTCTTATCAAATTTTTTATAGTTATCGGTGCTAACACTTTTCAACCGTTGGCGCGCCTAGAAATATTATCAAAGCTGGCAACGAATGTCCATCTCTGCTTTGTTTCTCCCGACTGCTGACTAACATACTCAATTAGGTTGCTGCAAACTTCAATTATCTACCCTTCACCAATAGTCTAACGGCGTTCTACCGATTTGTTGTAGCGCGTTTATTCTTAAAATCCTCCGTTATCTTAGTGAGAGACCCTTTTTATTATAGTTTAATTACAAAAAAACAACTGCTATTTATTGTGTAATGTGTGGTTGGATTTTCGTTTTCCTTTTTTATGTTTTTTTTTTTAATTTTTTTATTATTTTTGTTTCATATTATTACCATTATTTAATTTATAATTTAACTTTACTTAATCGTTTAAATAATTATCCTTTTCTTTATTAAATAATTAAAATTAAAAAAATAATAATAATTCTGGTTGTTGATGTTGTTGTTGTGGTATTGGTGGTCGCTTTAGATATTCGCAGCAGCATGCATGTGCCATATTATTTTTATTGCTGTCTTGCAGCGTTGCCGTAAAAGTCTGTTGCTTGCTGCCACAACTGCCGCTGGTGTCGTTGTTATTACTGTTGTCTGTTCTATTTTCGCTGCTGGTGCGACCACGACGCGCTCGTTTTAGTTTGTATTTCTTGCATAAAATTCAAACATGTTGTTTCTGTTTCTGATTTTGTTGTTGTTTTCTGCTATTGTAGTCGTCGTAAAACTCGGCATATTTGCAAATGCGCTTGCTAATGTGTTGCTGTTGATTTTCTTGTTGTTGTTGTTTCTGTTGTTGTTATGTATATAAACATACAGCTTAATAGTACGTCTCCTGTTCCAACCAGCCGCCTGGATTGCGACGCAAGTAGAATCGACGAATTTCATCATAGATGAAAATAGACAACATAAATGGAATGGCTGGTAACCACCAAACGAATCTAAAATAAAATTTATTACAACAACATGATTAGTTAGCTCCTGTGATGAATTTCTTCTGATTTTTTAACTTACTTCAGTGGGTACATGCGCAGACCCTTGTCCATGCCGGGACAGTACGACAGGAAGGCCGCCAACACTGTCTCAAACACCAAACCAAAGTTCAATGCCCAATTTCTCATGCCCTGCTGGAAGACAGAGTTTCGTCGTGTCTTACAGATGATCAAATCCGCCCATTGTACGACCACAATTGATACGAAGAAAGCAGTGTGGCAAGTGTACTCGAGTGTCTTACGATCGCGATAAGTCTATAGAGGAAGAAGGAACATTTGAACATTTCGAACAGGTTTTTATTAATACATTCACAAAACATTACTATGTTGATATTAAAAATGCAGACATCAATAGTTATAATTTAAAATAAAATAAAATAAGATGGTCAGTCTAGATAACTTGATAAAAATAATTATAACTAAAAAACAAAACCGACATACAGTAAATTTTACAGCATTCCTCAAAATATTTTGGGTAGTTTTTAATTTATTTTTATATTTTAATATTAAGTACTCACCCATTCTTGTCCATATGAGTCGGTTAAATCGTTGACAGCCTTTGAGTCCCACATCTTACGGATGCCGAACAGTTTCATTGGCAAGAAACCATTTTCAGCCATAATAACAAAATACACGAAGAAACCGGCAGCAGCTTGGATCATACCAATTTGACCATATGCCATCGAAATCAATCTGTATCATTGCATTTTTAAAAAGCGAATAAGGGGTGAGGGATAAGAATAGATAGTAATTAGTAAACATTTTCAGCAATGCGGTTTTTAGTTGTAAAATTTTAATATGTATGTATGGTAGAATTTTTATTTTTCTTGGAAGGGAAAGTGGGATTTATCTTTGGTTAGAACTAGCCATATAAGTATGTAGGAGAATACTTGTTTTGTTTGAAAACGAGGCCAGTTGCTGGAAATACATATTTTGCGCTTTAGTGACAGACATTTTGTTATTTTACCAGGACGGACAAGTATTTATGTATGTTGCCAAAATAGGACAGATAAACACGCCACGAACGTTAAAACACTATCAGGTATTTTATTTTTTATAAACATTCGTAAATAGCTTTTTGTGTGATTTTTAGTTTTAGTTAAATTTTTTTCTCTTTTTGTAAAATTTTAATATTGTTTTGTTTTTTTTTTTTTTTTAATATATTGAATGTTTGCAAAATCAGGCAATTCAATTAGGTTTTTTTTCTTTAATGAGCACTTTTTTATTGAAAATTAACTGTATGTATTTGAATTTTTAATTATTTTTTTAAAGCTAAAAAATTAACTTAATTTGTTTTTTTTTTTTTTGAAATTGTCAAAGAAATTATTGATCGATAATAAGGTACTTCGCAGGGTGTCCCATGTCAATTTTACCATAGCTCAATTTTTAAGATCTTAACTCATATTATACATTTTTTTGTGGGCACAAATTTTTTTTGTGGGCACAAATTTTTTTTGTGGGCACAAATTTTTTTTGTGGTTGCAAGTCCATTAAAATTATTTAACTGTTATAAAATTCACTCTGCGTACCCCTTATTATAATTCAAAATAATTTAATTCATAATTTTAACTAAAACCAAAGCAAATTTTGTTGATAAAATACATTTTTTCATAAAAAATGTCATGAAAATTTAAAAAAAGGATTTTTAATGTTTGAATTATTATTTTTGATATGATTTTTAATTTCATCTCATTCAATTTTGAAACTGTATAATTAAAATATTTGAATAAAATTTCTTTTTTACTAGAAAATTTGTACAGCTTCTTATGTTATTTTTACACAGCAGTTGGCCTGGTTTTCCACACATGTGTGTTATAATTTTACATTAATGTATAAGGGTGTAAGATTTATTTACAAAAATATGCACCATGTTTACATATTTTTATATATAAATTTTATTTTAAAGTCGTATGGGATTTGTTTTTTTTTCAAGTTTAATTAGTTACAGGCATAGCGGAGCGGGTTAACTAAACTACTAGATCAGATATGCACGTTAGTGATTTGTGTTAGTTATTTTTTATTTTTTAATTATTTATTTTACTCCTTTTAAAGTTACTATCAAAATTTTAAGGAAAAAAAAGCATTTCAATTTTTATGCACAATACCATTTAAATATGTACTAGAAAAAAGCGGCTGGATTTCGAAAGTTTTCTTTAGCGGTATTGCGAATATGAGCTGATAGCTCGTCAAAAGTAAAGTGCATAGTGTTTATGGGCATAAATATGCGTATATATATATACATAAATGTGTGCATTTTAATGTTTTTGGTCTTCATTTCATTTCATTTTCGGTATTTTGTTTTGTTTTAGGATGCATTTTGGGCGCAATTTTAGTGAGAGAAAAGCAAAGCACCTTTTTGTTATTGTGTACAGCTGAACTAAACTAAACTAAGTATACCAAAAAGAAAAGCCAACAAGAAACTGGAAATGATTTTCAATACTTAGTAAAAATAAAAATAAATGACGAATACGTAAACATACATACCTTAATATAGAAAGGGCATATGTAAAAGTTTTGTTTCTTTACAGAGTAGTTATATACATATGTAACTTTAAAAGAACTGTACACGCTGGTTTCTAAGAAGCAAAGAAAGTATTTTTTTTATGTAGTAGTGGATTTTAAATACGATTAAGTCGTTAGTCGGTAATCTACTTTTATGCACAACTGAATTTTGAAAATCAGTTAAGGCCTTTCTATATTAAGGTAACGATATGCACTACATATTGCAACATAAATACTTACACAACTATATACAATACAAAGATACATATACAATTTGACTGGTATAAATTTTACATTTATTTACATATATAAACACAAGCATAATCAAGCGCAATTTACAGCTAAACTAAAGCAAAACGCAATATTTTTATATGAACAAGCTGGTATATAAATATATACATATGTACAGGCGTAGTTCTATATATACATATTTTCAAAATAAAAACATAATAAACAGTAAATTGTGGACATGCAGCGAATGTTAGTTGTACAGAGCATCAAGACATTGCGAAATGTGAAAGCATCAAAACATTTGTAGATCCCGTAACGAAAAATGAAATGCGAAAAGTTTCATAGACAAGAAATGTAGAAAGCAAAGTTCGAAACGTAAAGCTGATGTCAGATACAATTTTGTGGCTTTGCGTGACATTTATAACTTTGCCAGTAAGCTGAAGTTGCAACGATCTATGGATGTGGCATGCTTTGTGCATTATCATACAATTCATCTTATCTGTCAAAGTGCATCTGTCACGCAAGCGTTTTGTCTGGCATCAGCTTAAATGCCACGTGTTCTCTTTGTTAGCAACATTTAATGATGTAAGTATGTATGTAAACAGGGCGTCAAATACAGCTGAGCATCAAACCGCTGTAGGGTACTTAGTAGTAAATAAACTGCACTGATTAACCTGCGCGTGGTAACTGACACAACGTAGCAGCGAATTTTGATTAGAGTTATGGTCTCAAACACAAAAGCAGATATTGTTCCAAGGATACTCTACTTTTAAAATGGCGCTCATAGCGCACACGTTACTTGAAATATTCTACAGCAAAACGGTATTTTCATTTAAAATTTATAAGGCTTGTGAGATTAACAGGCTAACGAAAAAGGTCGCCTTCCGTACTATGTATCTTACTTACGTACGGGCATAAGAATGTCGATATGAACTTTTGAGCATCGGAAAAGCCTCATTTTTTTATTTGATATTTAAGAAAGAAAAGTGACGAAAATTAATAAAATACATACATATATTTCTTAATTGAATTTTATGACGCCTTTTTAAGCGGGAGCCCATTTGGGAGCAGGCTAAAGTGAGAAGGCATAAAACCTTCGCGTGCGCTGTGTTTGGGACGCGCTATGTTAAAATCCCGCCCAATGAAAAATACAAATATGCCTCGGATGAGACCCCGACTTTTTTATGACGACCAAATCCAGCGGCTACGTCAGCTAGATAATTTCGTTCGAATGGACAGAAACGTTCCAGCTTTTAAAGTATTAACGCGTAAAGTATTTAACGCGGGTCGCGATGCTGGTAACAGAGGAAGGGCTCCTCTGCGTTGGATAGAGCAGGCGGCATTCTTGGCATTTCCAATTGGCGTCTTTTGGGCAAAGAAGAGAAATGACTGGCATGCTCTTTTGGAGGTTAGGCGGTTACAGCGCCAATAAAGAATACGAAAGCCAGTGCACAGCATCATACAAAAAAAGATGAATTGGAACCAAAGCACAAGAACCAGACTTAAATTACAGAAGGTCTGTTCTGAGTGGACCAATATTATAGATAAGATCTTAAGATTTGTGCTCAGAAACTTTCACAAAAGACATCACTAATTCAAGCGACTAGAATTTCGTACACCTGACATGCCTTAAATGAGAAAGATTTCCTTAGCTAACTAAAGAAAAATTTTCAATGTTTTGTTTGTGTTACTTTCCGGCCTGGTAACGCTTTATTTTGAATTATTTTTATTGTTGTTTTTCCATAGAAATTTTCAATTATAACGGCCTTAAGCTCAATAAAAATTAAAAAAAAACGATCAGTTAATAAATTTACTTATTTTTTTACCACTGAAAACAACAGCGTTAAACAAATTTACATGATACATATTTTATTTAACCTTTTTTTAATTTTCTTTTGGGTGCAGAAGTGTTTCTAAATCAAAAATTAAATTTTCAAACAAAAATTCCCCTACGTTTTGTTGGCGGTTAGCCCTCCATATGTACATAAATAAAGAAATAAATATAAAAAGTTTATTGGGAGCGGGGCGATGACAAAAAAAACTTTTGCTCCGAAGCTCCGCGACGAACACAATGGAAGGAGCAAGTGCAGAAGGAACTGCCTGCACCCGGAGTGCACAAATCACACAACTTCGCAAAGGACAGAGGCAATTAGCGAGGTTTTTGGTCTATGCCCAAACCGACGAACGGTTGCAGATCCAAATTTTAAAATCAATTTCAAAGGACAACAGACTTCTAAACATTTTTCTAAACAGGGTTTTCATACTTTGGCATTAAAAAAGTTAGTACCTAATACTAAACGTTTTGAATAGTAATATTTAAATGAATTATGTGCTTTTTTTGGTTCAATATCGAAGATTTTTTTTCTTTTCACCACTTTTTTAATATTTCAGTATACAAAATTAGATCTATAGGAAGCTTCTTTGATGCGCAGAAGTCCATTCTCGAGGAATAATAATGTGCCTGTTCAAGTGAAGCAAAGAGTAGGTCGTTTCCACCAGGCATTTAATGGAAAAAAATTAATGACAAAGTTGGGTATTAAAAAATATCCATAGTATTACGTTAAAGAAATAAGTAGTCATGAAATTCATTTCCATTCATTTTAAATGTCTCATTTTTTTTGTCATATCAATACCTAGTGGAAATTCGGCATTAGCAAGAACAAGGTTTATAATGCATATAAACGTAAAAAAGCTTATACAGTAGATATCGGCTATAGGATGAGCAGTTGCTAATAACCGGTATCTACTGTGCATAAGTATTGGCGCTAAATTAACCGATTTGTATTTGAAGCAAGACTTGAAGTTGCGTCAGCGTTGCGGCAGTGCATGCATTGCGAAGATAACCGACTATGTTTTAAGAAACGTAACTAATTCAGAGGGAGAGTCATATATAGAATAACTTTTCGATTTGGAAAGCATATTAGGAAGCCCACTAAACTTGCGTTTACTACATTTATGTACCTTCTGTAGCATCAGACAATTCGGACGGAATATTAAAAAAAAAAANATTGAAGTCACCTGCCAATCATCCATTATGGCTTATTCACACTACTTTATTCAAATGCTGATGAAATTTTCTTGAATCACGTACGCGTTTCG